TGGGCAAACGAGACACGTTCCCAAACAAAAGTGTAGGTGTGAAAGCAGCCGAACTCTCCAACAGCTGACTGAAGAACCAAGACAACTACAGCAACAACATACACCACACGCACACGCACACACACACACACACACACACACACACACACACACACACACACACACACACACACACACACAGTTGGTGGGTCAGTTGGTGTTTCTGTGTGGAGTTTGCATGTTCTCCCCGTGTTGGCATTGGATTCCTCCGGGTGCTCCGGTTTCCCCCACAGTCCATACACATGCGCTATAGGGGAACTGATCAACTACACTGACCGTAGTGTATGAGTGTGTGAGTGTGAATGAGTGTGTATGGGTGTTTCCCAGTGATGCTGGGAGGGGATCCACTGCGTAAAACATATGCTGGAATAGTTGGTGGTTCATTCCACTGTGGCGACCCCTGATTATTAAAGGGACTTAGCTGAAAAGAAGAGAGATGTAATGGTGTGTGCTGCTGAAGACTCTTCTGGAAACAGCAGCCAGAATCACTGAAGCTGCTAATGAAGATAGCCGAGAGCGCTTCCAGAACTGCAGCTTCATACTGAACTTCAGACTTCATCCGTCTCTCCCCGATGTGGACCTGGCCCTCTATATCCCCACCATCACACTAACAGCTTTAATAAAGAGCTGAAAAATAGACTTCAGTTGTAGTGAATGAGTAAGGGAAACCTGCTCGCTAATGAAGATCACTTCAGCTGGAGGTTAGCGTGTGTGAAGTGCAGTTTTGAGTGAGGATCTGGCACCCGGCAGAGCGAGCGCATCCAAACCCTGACTCACACATTCATGACACACACGACTGAGTGCAGCTTGAGCAGATCCCTGACCCGCGGTCATCCTGAGGACAGGACCTGTGTGTGTGTGTGTGTGTGTGTGTGTCTTGCTGGCCAATTAAAGGACATTGATCGTGAACTGACATGTTGACACACACTGACACCCCCATTGAACTGAGGACAGTGTCAGTTTGATGCATACATTGGTGCAATGTGTGTGTGTGTGCGTGTGTGCGTGTGTGTGTGTGTGTGTGTGTGTGTGTGTGTGTGTGTGTGTGTGCGTGTGTCGGTAGCAGGTGTTTTCTCTGTGTGGTACTGAAAGGGCCATTGCACACATGTAGACCCGCAGCTCTGAGCCAGAATCCTGGAGCTGGAGAACCTGCCATGTGTTCATCAGCTGACCCAGAGATGGAGGGGGGGGGGGGGGGGGGTGATAGAGCAAGTCTAAAGGAGGGCGAGAGATAGACTGAGAGAGAGAGAGAGAGAGAGAGAGAGAGTGATGGAGTGATAGAGCGAGTGTGAAGGTCACCGTCTCCTCAGCTCTTCTCCTCATCTCTCTCTCTCCCGCTGTGCTGTTGAAGCTGATGCAGGGTTGCGGGATCGCTCTGTGAATGTTCTGCTTTTCCTCCTCAGATATTCAGGCGGTTCTGAATCATTTTATATTCAGCAACAGGACAGTAACAAACATTACCTGCTGAACACTAGAGCAGTGTGTGTCCTGCATCTGTCCTCAATATCAAACCTAAAGCCAGCTTTACTGAGCTAGGAGGTGATTGCTTTTCTAAAGTATTTCCCAGTTCACGCTCGAGAGCTCGTGCAGCTTCACGAAGCCGCTGAGGAACAGACTTCACCATGTTTGTGCTGCCAAATGTCCCAAATAGTCCTCGCTGCTGCTGTGACGACATAACCTAAAACACGCCTTGCAGCAACGGCGGCCGTCTGTGGGCGTGGCCAGGCCAGAATGCATTTTCAATTTCAAATCGGCTTTCATTCGTCGCGATGTGTTAATGAAAATGCATTATGTTTTTTTCATTTTCATTTTAATTCTGCTGCAAACATTGCACATATGTCTTGGAAAATGCTAACTGAAATACAGAAATACACTGCCATTTACATATTGCATTATCGTTTTGCGTATAACATTTCAAAATTAATTTTGCTACACACATCCCATGCTGTTATGCTGAAAATGTAATCCTGCGTTTCCTAGACGCGAGTGTAAATGCATTTAGGACAAATAACATTTAAATGATCAATTTGCTACAGTTTCTGCTTGTACTTTATTCACATCATATTCAGTTTGTGTATAGCATTTTCAATTTAATTTAGCTACTTATGAAGCTTTAAAATTTGGATACAATTTACATATTAAAACAGTAAATGCAAACAATCTAATTTAATTTACATTTTCATTCTGCACCAAACATTGCACATATGTCTTGGAAAATGCCCATTTAAATACAGAAATACACTTCCATTTACATATTGCATTGCCATTTTGCATATTATATTTTGAATTGAATTATGCTACTCATATGCTTCCATACTAATCAGGGTTAAAGCTGAACTGCAGGAGCTGTGTGTGACACCTGTGCTGTACAGCGACTCTCCATCGCCACCATGTCTAATACAGTGAAAACAGTGTTTTGGCCCTAACCCACCCCTAACACAACCCTTAACCCAAACCTAACACACCCCTAACCCAACCCTTAACCCAAACCTAACCCAACCCTTAATCTAAAACTAACCCACCCCTAACCCAACCCTTAATCCACCCCTAACCCAACCCCTAACCCAAACCTAACCCACCCCTAACCCAACCCTTAACCCACCCCTAACCCAAACCTAACCCACCCCTAACCCAACCCCACCCCTTAACCCACCCCTAACCCAACCCCTAACCCAAACCTAACCCACCCCTAACCCAACCCCTAACACACCCCTAACCCACCCCTAACCCAACCCTTAACCCACACCTAACCCAACCCCTAACCCAAACCTAACCCACCCCTAACCCACCCCTAACCAAACCCTTACCCCAACCTACCCCACCCCCTAACCCAAACCCCCACCCCCTAACCCACCCCTAACCCAACCCTTAACCCAAACCTAACCCACCCCTAACCCAACCCCACCCCTAACCCAACCCTTAACCCAAACCTAACCCAACCCCCCCCCCAACCCAACCCCTAGCCTAACCCCACCCCTAACTCACACCTAACCCAACCCCTAATCCAACCCCTAATCCAACGCCTAATCCACTCCTCACAGCACAGCTGAGGCAGATGTCCCAAAAACTTGTTAAGTGAGCAAGTGTTTGTGTGTGTGTGTGTGTGTGTTTGTGTGTGTGTGTGTGTGTGTGTGTGTGTGCGTGTGCGCGTGTGTGTGTGTGTGTGTGTGTGTGTGTGTGTGTGTGTGTGTACTGATACGGCAGTAATACCCCTGAGTTTCTCCACAGTAGCGTGCTCATTCCCACACGCGTGAGCTCCAGCTTTAGCTCTCTGACCCGCTGCAGTATCTCTCTCCCGCAGGCCGTTATTCCTCACACTCCGCTGTATTAGCTAATGTGGGCCAGAACCGCATGTGGAGTGTGTCGAACACAAACGGAGATCAGCGGATTGACTGGACGGATCAGCAGAAACACACACACAGTTGCCGGAGTAACACAGCACTGAAGAGCGAGAGCGAACACAACACCTGTCCATCATCAGGTGCGCACCGCTTCCTGTCCTGCTTCATTTGCATACTGCACTGTGATTGGCTGCTCTGCACACATTTGAATTAATTTCATCATTTGATGTTTAATTTAGGATTCAGCATGTGCTGCCGTATTCACTATAGGCGGAGCTGAACATGAATATGGTGATGAGGGCGGAGCCTTTGACATGTTACTGACCAATCAGAGCTGGACTTCTCAGAAAACCTTTAAAGAGAAATAAAACAGGGAGCCTTTCAGACAGAAGAGCAGCTCACACACCACGAGGACACCACGCCGTCCTGGACATCACATGATGGAAGTGTGTATTCTGGCAGAACCCAAATAAGAGCAGGAGAATAACTGAGCAGGAGACCCCTGAGTCTGGACCGACCAGAACCAGAACATCAGCAGAACCACAGCTTCACACTAACATCAGGAAACCCGTTAAAACTGAAACAAGCCCATATATCTGACCCAGCAGCGTGTGTGTGTGTGTGTGTGTGTGTGTGTGTGTGTGTGTGTGTGTGTGTGTGTATGTATGTGTGTGTGTGTCATGAAGCCACTCTGCCCTCCTCAGTAAGCTCCTCCTCCTCAGATCACTCGTCTCCTCCACCGGTGGGCAAGTGGAGCGGGCAGCAGCTGACGGGCAGCGGACCGCCGGCGGGTAATGAAAGCGATCCTGCGCACCTTTATATAGATCAGCTAATGAAGCGCCGCTCGGCCCACTGTCAGCCTCAGAGGAGCTGAAAACACCAGCCAACAGCAGAACTGACCAGAACCACAGCACTACTGACCACCATCAGCCTGATTACACAGGGACAACACACTCACGCTGCTCATCTCTCTCTCTGTGTGTGTGTGTGTGCTGGTTTACAAGGACACTTCATTGTATAAAGACATGGGTCTGACCTCTATTACAGTGCTTTATGAGCTCATGGCAGATGTCCTTGTAACCCAGAAGTCTTAAAGACACACGTGTGTGTTGTGTGTTGACCCTCAGACTCTGCCGCAGGTGAGCTGTGAGCGCCGGGTCAGGGGTTACCACATATACGTCACGGCCTTTACTGTAAAAAAATACACTGTGGAGAGTCCCTGTAAACCAGCTATAGCGGCGTGTGTGTGTGTGTGTGTGTGTGTGTGTGTGTAATGTTTGGAGAGGTAAACAATAGTAACCCTACCTCCCAGCGCCTGCTTCATAACAAAATTCATGATGATGGCTTTTATTCCTGCCCTCTGCAACCAGATCTTACATTCAGCTTCAGCTCCTCAGTCGTCTGTGTGTTGGGTCTGCAACGGGAAACACACACACACACAAGCACACAAATTAATCAGCGAGTGTGTTTCTGCAGTTTCCTGCTCATGACCCTCTCTGATGTGCTGCTGCTGCAGTGAAGGGGCTTTGTGCTGTGCTGTTCGGGTATTTCTGCAGTCACACATGAAGGCTTTCAGTCTCTCTCTCTCACACACACACAAACACACACACACACAAACACACACACACACACACACACACACACACACACACGCACACACACCGTGGATAATTACCTGCTGTGCGGCT